GCCTGGGCCAGCCCAGTCCCCCCACATCCCCCCCCGAACCCCCCGAAACCCGGGGGGCTCTCGCAGTCTGACTCTCCATCGCAGCCGGGACGCGGCAAGAGCCCCGAGGGGTGACAACCTCCGCGGGGACGGGCCAGCGCTTGTCCCCAGAGAGCTGCTCTCCTCTTTTACGTGTCTCCTCTGCTGCTGGGGGAGTTGTGGTTCAGGGAAAGCTTCCCGAGAGAAGACTTTGCTGCTGGCGGGGAGAAACCGGCTGAGCCCCAGTGGGAAATGCAGCCTCGGAGCAGGGGACTCCCGGGACATCCCGGGCACGGGGAACAGGAGCATTCCCGCTGCGGGGGACAGGACATCCCAGGTACTGGGGACAGGACATCCTGGGTGCTGGGGACAGGACATCCCAGGTGTGGGGGACAGGACATCCTTGGTGCTGGGGACAAGACAACCAGGACACAGGGGACAGGAGCATCCCAGGTGTGGGGGACAAGGTATCCCGGGTGCTGAGGACAGGACATCCTTGGCGCTGGGGACAGGACAACAAGGGCATGGGTGACAGGAGCATCCCAGGCACGGGGGACGGGACATCCTGGGTGCTGGGGACAGGACATCCTGGGCACTAAGGACAGGACATCTCGGGTGCTGGGGACAGGACAACCAGGGCACGGGTGATAGGAGCATCCCGGGCACAGGGGACAGGACATCCCAGGCACGGGGGACAGGACATCCTGGGTGCTGGGGACAGGACATCCTGGGCACTAAGGACAGGACATCCCAGGCGTGGGGGACAGGAGCATCCCAGGCACGGGGGACGGGACATCCTGGGTGCTGGGGACAGGACATCCTGGGCACTAAGGCCAGGACATCCCAGGCGTGGGGGACAGGAGCATCCCAGGCACGGGGGACGGGACATCCTGGGTGCTGGGGACAGGACATCCCAGGTGTGGGGGACAGGGTATCCCGGGTGTAGGGGACGGGAAATCCTGGGCATGGGGGACGGGAGCATCCCGGGTGCGGGGGACAGCACATCCCAGCGCTGGGGGCCCAAGTAGGACATTTCCAAGCCATCAGGGACCCTCTCCCCTCCATTTAATGCCAAGCAAACCCTCCTTCGGAGGAGCAGCCACCCTGGTTCGGCACCACAGCGGGGACAAGGACTGACGCCTACCCCGGGTGCGTTCCGCTCCGCGCGGCGGCCGGCCCAGCTGGCATTATTTACCCAAAGGCAGGTGGCATCCAACTCCTTCCTCTATTTATTGCACCTGAGGGAAAACAAGGGCTGGGCAGCGGGAGACCGGCTTGGGGGCTTTGGGGACCAACCCGGGGGCTTTGGGGACTGGCATCAAACCCTTGGTGCAGCGGTAGGGAGAGATGCCACCGCCCCATGTCTCGGCCATGGGGCTCGGTGATGTCCCCGTGATGTCCCCGTGATGTCCCCACGGTGTCCTCGCCTCGCCACTCCCCTGGGAAGGTGCGTACTCGACGTGGGGCGATTTGCATGTTCACTCCCTCCAAGCGGGTACACCGCACTGAGCTGAAGGCTTCGAGCTCGCCACGGTGGAGCGATGGGGATGTCACCCCGCCACCCACGTCCCTGCGTCCCCTGGCTGCTGGTCCCGCTCCTCGTGGTGGCAGGTAGGCGTGAGGGGAGGGCAGCGGCCGAGCTGGGAGGGGACCACGGCGGTTCCAACACTTGCAACCCTCATTTATCAGCCACCCCGTTTTGATTAGCGACCCCCATTTATTAGTGAGCGGGTGGCGGTGGGAGAGAGAGGGGGAGCGCGGCTTTTGGGTCCCAGGGGCAAAATTAATGATAGCCCCGAGGGGATTAGAAAATATGCAAAATATTAGGGGTGAGAACAGGATTTCCCCCTGCGAAGGAGCCAGGAATGATGCACGGGGGCACCGGCGGTTCCTCGGGGGCAGGCGAGCCGGGGCTGCTTGCTTGCAGGCAATGGGGGAAACGATGCGGGGTGATGCTCAGCGTCCCCTCCTCACTTCGCTGCCGGCATAAATCAACTCCCGAGAGGTTTACGGGTCCCCCGGCAAGGACGTGACCCTGGAGTGGGTGCCTGGGGCTGTTCACCCCTTCTTCTGCTGCGTGGTTGCTGCTGGGAGTGCTGGGCTCGGCCAACCCGCCGGAGGAAAAGGGGAAATGAATTTTTGACGAGTTACGGAGGAAGGCAAGGAGGGGCGATCTCTCCTCTTTTGTTTGCCTGCGCGTTTCCGAGAGGAGGAAGAGCGAGGCCAAAGGGTGGCTTGGCCCCAGGCTGCTCTGGCCATACCCTTTTCCTCGGGACAGGGAAAGGGGAGGGGGGGGTGGTCCATCCTGCTGCCGTCGGGGGCACCTGGAAAGCACTCGATGGGTTCAAGGAGCGGGCTGGGTGATGCCCGGGGTCTAACCACTGCCTGGCTGGGTGCCCCGGGGACGGCGGGGACACAGCGGTGTGGGGGCTCGCTCCCCATCACAGCTGTCGAACCCAGCACAGCACCTAGCGAGGTGGTACCCAAATGAATCCCCCCATACACACACACCCTTCCCCTTCTTCTCTCTGCATCCCCCTGAACCAGCGCGGTGGGTTGTCCACAGCCATGCTGGCATGATGGGGTGATGAACACCCCAACGCTGTGCCGGTGCGTTGCGGTTTGCCGGCTATGTGCCGGCCGCGCCGTTCCCCTCGTCTCGCCTTCCTCTTTGCAAACCATAGCGGCTGCAGAGAGCACTGAGCGGGGAGAGGCCAGAGCCAGCTCCAAAGCGTGCAGGAAGCGAGCAGGCTGCGAGTTGTGGTGCAGGGTGGGTCCTGCGGTGTGGGGATGTGGCCGTCTGTCCGTCTGTCCCCCCGGCTTGGGGGAGGCTGCGTTGGCGTCATGCAGCATTTCAGCATCTCAGATGTGCATCCGCCGGTGTGGGCAGCTCTGCCGCAGGGAGCATCTCGCTGTCACCCCAGGAAAAGAAGCAGCCCAGCGAGCCCCCGGCATCCCGGGCTGCATCCCCAGCAGCGTGGCCAGCAGGGCGAGGGGGGATTGTGCCCCTCTGCTGCGCTCTGCTCTGCTCTGGGGAGACCCCCCTGCAGTGCTGCCTCCAGCTCGGGGGCCTCA